CTCTCTCTCTTCCAGAAACAGAAGATGGATCTTGGTGATGACCTTCCTGCAGACAGGGTTGATGGTGTCCCCCCTTCCTCCTCCCTCGCTCAGGACGGCCCTGTCTCGGAGCGCCTGAAGCTGGTGTCCGTGGCCCTGCGCTCGCTGCACGTCCTGCTGGGCGCCGTGGTCCTGGAGCAGCAGGAGGAGTTCAGCCCCGCGGACGGCGCGTTCCACTCCAAACTGGAAGCCCTTCTCTCTCGCCTGGGGGACCTGTCTGACGGGCTGGGGCTTCTCCTGCTGGAGACCGGCGGGGTGACCGCCGGAGACAAAGACGCGCCCCCCTCCTCCCCCTCTGCCTCGTCCTCCTCCAGCTTTTCCCGGAAAGTGCGGGGTTACTGTGTCCTGCGTGAGCTGTCCGCCTGGGCGCTGAGGGCCCACCAGGAGCTGAGGAGCGGGGGCGCTGGGACCGGCGGGAATGCTGAGGGCTCTGGAGCCCCGGGAGGCAGGAGAGCGCAGGCGAGGAGGCTGAGGCACCGCAGGATCTAGAGTCACGGACTGGGGGGTGGGACGCCTGTGTGGTGGGAATAAGGGAGACGGGTGGGACACCTGTAGGAGGAAATAAGGAGAGAAAGGGGATTCCTGTATGGGGTAGAGAGGAGGGTCACCTGTGAGGGCAGAATTAGGGAGAGGGGTGGGACACCTGTAGGAGGAAATAAGGAGAGAAGGGGGACTTCTGTATGGGGTAAAGAGGAGGGTCACCTGTGAGGGGAGAATTAGGGAGAGGGGTGGGACACCTGAGGACATCATCTGTAAATTCCACAGGGACTCTCTGTCCTGAGGTCCTGTTGATGATGACGAAGCTGCAGTCATCACTAATCAATCAGCATGCTGATTCACAGGAGAAAGGCTGTCCTGGAGGATCAGTAGAGCATCAGGGCAGAGGAAGAGGGTGTTGGGGCAGAGGGAGAGAGAGAGGGTGTTGGGGGAGAGGGAGAGGGTGTTGGGGCAGAGGGAGAGAGAGAGGGTGTTGGGGCAGAGGGAGAGGGTGTCAGGGCAGAGACAGAGTTCTGTGAGTCAAGATGCTGAAACATGGACATGAATGGAAGATGTGTCAGGGCACAGTGAGTGTATGTCAGTGCAGAGTGAGAGTTTCAGGTTGGAGTGAGTGTTGGGTGAGTGAAATTAGAATGCTGAAAATATACACTGAAAAAGAACACTTAAATACTTAGTTTTTGAAAAAAACAATATTTGTAGTATTTTTAAAAACTAATGTTTGATAGTAAAGTATTTATTTTTGTGGTATTGATAATGATAATAAATCTGGTTTCACAGAGGTGTTACTTGTGGTCATTAAATATTAGTCTTTAAGTCACTGACCCTGCTGTCTCTGTGTGAAGACTTCCC